CATCACAAGGCAATCGGATGGGCGGTTAAACAAAGTCAAAGGCAATGTTAAGTCGAATCCTTCAGAGCCCTTCCCACCCAATCCCTTTTCGGAGGTGTGTGTGTTGCTGAGCAGCTGCCAACCCCGGACTGACGGTCCGCCTGAGTCAGGGATTTTACACAAGTGATGGCCAACGCCTAACAGGTGCAGTGCTGCGGCTCTGCCAAAGTGTCCTCTCACCGCACGTTCCTTAAACCTCTCTCTGTCGAAACCCAACGCGGCAGCGACAGCCGAGAAATAGCTGACGAGGGGTGACTTCGTTGGAGGAGGTTTTCGCCTCCGGCAAGAAACGCTGCGGTGATTTATGGTTTAATGCCACCGCCAACGCCATCACTTATCGAAGCTCTGCGGCGGCTCAAGAGTGAGAGTGAGAAGAGGGGGAAGAGATTTCGCTGCATTTCACATCCAGTGTGTGTGGCCCACGTGGCGGCAGTGAGAGCGGAAACCTTTCCTCACCTTTTTTACTCGGGAAATGTGCACTCTATCCCGGACTCTACAATCATACACACGTACAACAGTTCAACATCGCAATGCGATCTTCCACTGCACATCGCCGCCGACTTTCCCGACCCCCCGGAGAGAGACAGAGACAGAGAGAGAGAGACAGAGAGAGAGAGAGGTGTTTTCTATTGATTCCGATGAGATTCGGGGGTGGAAATGCAGTGCACAAAAGATGCAAAATACACTGTCCTGAGCCCCGACCTTCACAAGGTCTGACCATAACCCCAGGTCCTGCCCTCCCTGACCAGGGCCCCAGGTCCTGCCCTCCCTGACCATAACCCCAGGTCCTGCCCTCCCTGACCAGGGCCCCAGGTCCTGCCCTCCCTGACCAGGGCCCCAGGTCCTGCCCTCCCTGACCAGGGCCCCGGGTCCTGCCCTCCCTGACCAGGGCCCCAGGTCCTGCCCTCCCTGACCAGGGCCCCAGGTCCTGCCCTCCCTGACCAGGGCCCCAGGTCCTGCCCTCCCTGACCAGGGCCCCGGTCCTGCCCTCCCTGACCAGGGCCCCGGGTCCTGCCCTCCCTGACCAGGGCCCCGGGTCCTGCCCTCCCTGACCATGGCCCCGGGTCCTGCCCTCCCTGACCATGGCCCCGGGTCCTGCCCTCCCTGACCATGGCCCGGGTCCTGCCCTCCCTGACCATGGCCCGGTCCTGCCCTCCCTGACCATGGCCCCGGTCCTGCCCTCCCTGACCATGGCCCCGGGTCCTGCCCTCCCTGACCATGGCCCCGGGTCCTGCCCTCCCTGACCATGGCCCCGGGTCCTGCCCTCCCTGACCATGGCCCCGGGTCCTGCCCTCCCTGACCATGGCCCCGGGTCCTGCCCTCCCTGACCATGGCCCCGGGTCCTGCCCTCCCTGACCAGGGCCCCGGGTCCTGCCCTCCCTGACCAGGGCCCCGGGTCCTGCCCTCCCTGACCAGGGCCCCGGGTCCTGCCCTCCCTGACCAGGGCCCGGGTCCTGCCCTCCCTGACCAGGGCCCCGGGTCCTGCCCTCCCTGACCAGGGCCCCGGGTCCTGCCCTCCCTGACCAGGGCCCCGGGTCCTGCCCTCCCTGACCAGGGCCCCAGGTCCTGCCCTCCCTGACCAGGGCCCCGGGTCCTGCCCTCCCTGACCAGGGCCCCGCACTTAACACATTCTCCTCTCCCTTTCTGTCCTCCCATTCCTGCTCACCCCCTCTGTCTGCCACAGGTGAAGCTTATTTCCCTCTGATCTCCCCATCACTTACATCGTACCCACTTTCAGTGCAGAGCTCTTAAAGGACATCTCTCCCCCCCCTCCCCCTCCCCCCCAGGATCAGTGCAGCCTCACACTAACACAGCCACTGATCTGATCTTAACTCAAAGGGACAGAGTCTCTGTCTGTCTGTCGGTGTCCACCACCTTCAGTGCAAATATCCTGTGTTGAATGTGAATTGAAATTGGATCAGGGAAACCGATATCTAACACTCCAGCAATGTCTTACCCCTCAACTCCATCCTCTCACACTTTAGCCAAATACAAATAGATGCACTGTGTGTGTGTGTGGGGGGGGGGGGGGGGGGAGAGATGACTTTGATCCCCCAGAAAACGTGTGCCCAGATCTTCCCACCACAAATGCTCCTATTTACTTTAGTGGCGCCGACCATTCACAGTAACAGTTCCTTACTGTTGAAATCCTCTCTGGTATCCCGTGTGTGAGTGTGTGAGTGAGTGGTTAGTGCAGTCGCTCTTTGTAACAGATGTGCTCCGCTCTCAGGGTCAGACTGTCTTTGACAGGTGCAGAGTGCATTGCAGTGGATTCCAACACAGCCTCTCACACACACCACAACCCCCCAACCCCCCCCACACACACACTCCCCACACACACCACAACCCCCCCCCACACCCACCCCCACACACACCACAACCCCACACACACACACCACACCCCCCCCCACACACACCACACCCCCACCACACACCCCCACACACACACACCACAACCCCCCCCAACACACACACCACAACCCCCCCACACACACACCACACCCCCCCCCCCCCACACACACCACCCCCCACACACACCACACACCCCCCCCACACACCTCACCCCCCACACACACCTCAACCCCACACACCCCCACACACCACAACCCCCCAACCCCCCCACACACACACCACCCACACACACCACAACCCCACACACACACCCCCCCCCCCCCCACCACACACACCCCCACACACACCACACCCCACACACACACACCACACCCCCCCCAACACCCCCCCCCCCCACACACACACCACCCCACACACACACACACACCCCCACACACACCACAACCCCACACACACACACCACACACACTCCACACACACACCACCCCCCCCCACACACACACACCACCCCCCCCCCACACACCACAACCCCCACCCCCACACACACCACACCCCCCCACACACACACCACCCCCCCACACACACACCACCCCCCCCCACACACACCACAACCCCCCACACACACCACACCCCCCCCCACACACACACCAACCCCACCCACACACACCACAACACCCCCCCACACACACACCACACACACACACACACACACACACCACCCCCACACACACACACCACACACACACACACCACAAACCCCCCCTCCTCACACACCTCACCCCCCCACACACACACACACACCTCAACACCCCCCCCCACACACACCACAACCCCACACACACACACACACACACCTCACCCCCCCCCACACACACACCACCCCCCCCCCCCCACACACACACCTCACCCCCCCACCCCACACACACACCACAACCCCCCCCCCACACACACCACAACCCCCACCCCCCCACACAACACCAACCACAACCGCCACCCTCCCCCACACACACACCACAACCCCCCCCCACACACACCACAACCCCCCCCACACACACACCACACCACACCCCCCCCACACACACACCACAACCCCCCCCCACACACACCAGACCACACCCCCCCACACACACACCACAACCCCCCCCCCCACCCACACACACCACAACCCCCCCCACACACACACACCACACCCCCCACCCACACACACACACACCACACCCCCCCCTCACACACACACCACAACCCCCCCACACACACACCTCATCCCCCCCCCCACACACACACACCACAACCTCCCCCCCACACCTCAAACCCCCTACCCCCATACACACACCACAAACACCCCCCCCCCACACACACACACACACCTCACCCCCCACACACACCTCACCCCCCCTCACACACACCACAACCCCCCCACACACACACACACCTCATCCCCCCCCCACACACACACCACAACCTCCCCCCACACCTCAAACCCCCTACCCCCATACACACACCACAAACACCCCCCCACACACACACACACCTTAAACACCCCCACCCTCACCCCCCCACACACACAAACACACCTCAAACCCCCCCACACACACCTCACCCCCTCCCCCCACACACACACACCTCACTCCCCCCCCACACACACCTCACTCTCCCCCCACACACACCTCACTCCCCCCCACACACACCTCACTCCCCCCCCCCACACACCTCACTCCCTCCCCACACACATCTCACCCCCACCCCCACACCTCATCTCCCCCACACCTCATCCCGCCCCCCCCCCACACACAGACCTCACCCCCCCACACACACACCTCAACACCCCCACACACACCTTAAACAGCCCCCCCCCACACACCTCAACACCCCCCCCACACACCTCAACACCCCCACACACACCTTAAACAGCCCCCCCACACACCTCAAACAGCCCCCCACACACACCTCAACACCCCCCCACACACACCTCAACACCCCCACACACACCTTAAACAGCCCCCCACACACACACCTCAACACCCCCCCACACACACCTCAACACCCCCCCACACACACCTCAACACCCCCACACACACCTTAAACAGCCCCCCCACACACCTCAAACAGTCCCCCACACACACACCTCAAACAGTCCCCCACACACACACCTGAAACACCCCCCCCCACACACATACCTGAAACAGCCCCCCCACACACCTCAAACAGCCCCCCCCACACACCTCAAACAGCCCCCCCACACGCACCTCAAACACCCCCCCACACACACACACCTGAAATAGCCCCCCACACACCTCAAACAGCCCCCCCACACACACACCTCAAACAGCACCCCCCCACACGCACCTCAAACAGCCCCCCCACACGCACCTCAAACATCCCCCCCCCACACCGCAAACAGCCCCCCCACACACACACCTCAAACAGCCCCCCACACACCTCAAACAGCCCCCTTCCAGCTCCACTGCACAGCCAGGAGACCTGGCCACTGAACAAGTCACTTACTTGCACTCAGGAAGCTCTGCTGGATTGCACACACCGGTTCTTCAGGACTCCGTGTAAAAGGCTGACAGCACAGACCCGTGCGATCACTTCACTGACTTGCTTACCTGTCGTGCTCTTGTGTCATCTTCTTTTCCCCCCACCTCGATCGGTCAAACTGGACTTTCTAGTTGGGACAGAAAGGGGATCAGCTCACATTGGCTCAGGTGGTGTCTGGATCAACCTGGAGACTCTCCGATCGGTGCAAAGAGATAAACTGTTTATATATATATATATATTGTTAGAGTTTATGTTACTTTCCCTCCCTCCTTCCTCTCTCTCTCTCTCTCTCTCTCTCTGTCTCTTGGCGGTGTGGCCGAGATGGAGAGGAGAGTTGGTTGTGAATTTGTTTGCTGTTCTGTTGGATTGTCTGTAGGTGTTTCACCTCCTGTGTAGAGAGCTGACCTGATTGGATATGCTAATCAGCACAGGTACTTCGGGTGTGGACTCCACGTCTGTATTGCAGTGTACATACAACACCAGGGATGTGGCAGGCCATCCGGTCAATAATACTTGAACTTGTCCCAACACCCCAACCCAACCGAGGGACGCTGCTGTGCGCAATTGGCTGCCGCGTTTCGCCCACAAAATACACAGTCAATTCACTTTGCAGTGAAAGCGCTTTGAGACGTCGAGAAGATGTGATAATCAAATGCAAGAATTATTATATTCCGTGAGGCGTTTTGAGACAGCTCAACGATGCGATTAGGCGCTGTATCAAATATAAGGATTATTATTATTTATTAACCCCAATAAAATGCATGAAAACGTTTTGGGTGTAACTTTGAACCGTAGTGGCTGTTATTTTTTTTGGTCAGCCTAGCATCCGATCTGTGTGTCAGGTGTGTCAGCTGGCTCAGTTCGTACTTAGGCCTTTGAGTCAACAACAACAACAACTTTGATTTATATAGCGCCCTCCACACCGGACAGCATCTCAGAGTCAGAAGGTTGTGGTTTCAAGCCCTTCTGAACTTTGAACTCACAGTCTACGGCTGTCACTCCATTGCAGTGCAGGGGTTTGCTGTACTATAGAAGGTGCCATGCTTTGTATGAGATGTTTCACCAAGTTCTCATCGACTTGTTCCGGTGAATGTTAAAAAGTCCCCTTCACTATTTGAAAAGGGAGAGTTTCCTAGAGCCTTGGTCAACAATCCCCCAGTAAAAATTGTCATTCACTTCATGGTTGTTTATGACACATTGCTGTGGGCAAAATTGGCTGCTGTGTTCGTCCACAAAAATACCCTGCCACTACTATGCTTTATAATAAATCCTTTGAAGTGTTTTGAGATGACCTCCTGATATTGTAAGGTGTTATATCAAATGCAAGGATTAGTATCATGTGGAAACCGATCACCGTGCTTAAGACTATGCAAACCAAACTGAGAGTTTCACATATGTATGCCACCTACACAAAGAAATTTCCCCGTGTCTGGAATGGAATGCGCTTCAGGGATGTACCTTGCTTCCATAATTCTGGAGAGTATTAGGTGCAGGTTGGCAAGAGCTGAGGTTTGGGGATCGTAGAGTGTCCAACTGCTGCAGTTCAATGAGCTAACACTGCATAGAACTGAGTTCAACTAGCTGCCATTGCAATGCTTGCCTTTGAGATCCCTGTATGGCAAGTTTCCTTCTGCCTGTCCAGCTGGGACCACCTTACCCATTAGGGTTTTGGCTTGGGTTAACAGGAAGTTAGTGAGAAGAATCCCTGCTCCCAGTGATCAATCTGCCCCTCGAAGACCAGGCAACGAACTGGGCTTGCTAGTCTGTCATCAGCAGTGCCTTGGAATTGCGTGCAGATTTCTGGAGGAATTCTTTAGTTGACTGTACTGAAGTTTTGCAATTTACACTATACTGTAGTGGAAATCAAGGCAGCTGATTGAAACAGTCAATCAACCTCAAAACAATTAATAAATTGCATTTATATAGCATCTTTCACATAGCTTAAATATCTTGGGGGCTTATCAAATAATAATACTATAATATTAATCCTTGCATTTGATATAGGGCCTTATCATGTCTTCGAGACGTCTCAAAGAGCTTCACAGAATATACTGTAAACTGAATTGTGGGCGAAACACAGCAGCTAACTGCGAACAGCAGTGTCCCACAAACAGTCGTGGACTGAGTGACCAAATTATTATTATTTTTGATTTGATTTAGTTTTTGAAGAGTTTATTACCCCCAGAAAAGCGATCCGACAATCGACTAACAACTACAACTTGCATTTATATAGCACCCCTCATGCAGGGTAGCGTCTCTGAATGCTAATAACCGGGTTCCTACTTACTGCTGGTAAACAGAGGTGTGTGGAGTAAGGAAACTTGCCTAACGTTTTGCCCTGTTCAGGAATCGAACCCAGGTCCTCTCGCTTGCGAGGCAAGTGCTCTAACCACTATGCTACAGGAATATGACAGATATGTCAAGCAGAAGAAAAAAGGGAGAAAAAAGGATAATAATAATCCTTGCAGTCAGTGAGATGTCTCAAAGCGCTTCACAGGATACACTGAAAGTGGAGTGACTGCATATTTTGTGGGAGAAACGCGGCAGCCAAAAACAAAGAGAAGACACAAATTGCAGAAATTTTGAAAGAGAATTCAAGGAGCAGGGTTATTGTGGCTGAAGGTTCAACCAGCAATGGTGGATCAGAGGGCATGAGAAATGAGCAGTAAAGCTGAATTGAAAAATTGGGGGGTACATGCTGGAGAAAAAGAGTGTGAACAAGAATGAGATTGTATTGCGGTGTGACTGGGTAGGGATCTGAAGATCAGGACATGGATCTTAAAGTCACTTGCTGGGAGACTGAGGGGCAGTAAAGTTAAGTGACGATGGGAGTAATCAATGTGCAGAGATGGGTTAAGGGGGGAATATGAGCTGTAGAGATTTGGATGTAGGAGTCCTGCAGCTCAGTGGCTGGAGCACTCGCCTTGTAAGCGAGAGCCTTGGGTTCGATTCCCGGCAGGGCGAAACCTTGGGCAAGTTTCCTTACTCCACAACCCTAATAATAATCCCTCAAGAAAGAAAAAGCAATAAAATTGGTCAGTTTAATTCAATACTGTTTGTGGGACACTGCTGTGCGTAATTGGCTGCCACATTTCGCCCCCATATATACAATCAACTCACTTTACAGCATATTCTGTGAAAAGCTTTGAGACGTCTAGAAGACATGAAAAGCACTATATCAAATGCAAGGATTATTATTATTATTATTGGGTGTGTTTGAGCTTGTGGAAGGTAGAGCTGGGAGAGTCAGCTAGGAGAACTTTGGACAAGTTTATCTTCAATGTCGATAAAGGTATGAATGTGCATTTTAGCAGTAGAGCAGATGAAGTAAAATAAATAGGCAACGTTCCAGAGATGGTAAAAGCAATGAGATTTGGTTAGGAGGCCAAGCAGATCCCATGACTGCGTACTGGCTGATTAGGCCTGAACCAGTTGCCAGTGAGGTTGTTGGAGTCAGAACCAGAGGCAAAAAAGTGCTGACGAGAACCAAATAAAAAAGGATTTGGTTTTGGTCACATTTAACTGAAGAAATGTAAGATTCATCCGAGGCTTGATGTCTGATCGTCAGAACAACAATCGTGTAATTGAGAATGATGGAGAGTTTGGGAGGGGGAATTAACACAAATGAAACACTGTTAATCCATAAGTGTAGGAAACATCAGGAAAATAAGGAGATTTGCATCTCTCTGCCTGGGGTGAATTTGTACCTGAGGCTCAGAGATAAAAAGACACGTTTATTATGCTGCACTACTCAGTTTCTTCTGCTGCATGTTGCATTTCCTATCAGGAAAGTTATGTTTTGTGGTTTACATGCCCAGAAATGTGCTGCTCTGCATAAATCTTATCAAGTGACCCAAACTACTGTACACTGCACCTGCTACAAATGCACTGTGATGTCTCAAATGCTATACATATTATAACATGTCCTTATAGAAATATATACACTGGTAAAACAGAGTACTATGAATAAATACAATGAAGACACATAGGAATGATACCACACCCAATGCAGCCGAAACCCTCGTCCACACCCTTGTCACCTCTCGCCTCGACTTTTGAAACGCCCTCCTCGCTGGTCTCCCCGGCTCCACTATCCACAAAAACCAACTGCTCCAAAACTCTGCTGCCCATGTACTCTCTCGTACTAAGCTCTGCACCCTCATCACAACAGTCTCGCCAAGCTCCACTGGCTTCCATCACAGAACGTATCAACTTCAAGATCCTCACACTCATTTACCTTCACGCCATTCCAGCTCCCTACCTCTCTGACCTGCTTATTCCCCACACTACCACCCTCAACCTCCACTCACTAGCTCCTGCCTCCTGCTTGTCCCTCGTCCAATCCTATTCACTATGGGTGGCCGTGTTTTCAGCCACTAGCCCTCGAAACTCAGGAACTCTCTCCCTTAATACCTCTGCCTTGCTTCCTCCTTCTCCATTTTCAAATCACACCTCAAGACCTTCTTCTTTGACCATGCCTCCAGTCACCTCCCCCATTCCCCCAGCTCAGCATCACTGTTAAGCGCTCCTGCGTGAAGGTCACTATATAACAACAAAATTACATTGTATAGTTGTTCTTGTTGACATAAACATGCAGAACATCCTGCTCATCAGGTTTTCGGTGAATAAAATCACCAACATTGTTAATTTAACATGGGGAATTTTGAACATACAACGGAAAGACTCACCTCCAATCTACAGAGTAATAAAAAAGGATCTGAACAAATGTACAGGTCCAAGAATGGTCCAAGGTGGCATGAATCATTGATTTCTTAAAATACGTGGAGTCCTGTAGCTCAGTGGTTAGAGCACTCCCCTCTCAAGCGAGAGACTGGGTTTGATTCCGGGCAGGGTGAAATGTTGAGCAAGTTTTCTTACTCCACACATCTCTGTTTACCCAGCAGTAAATAGCGTATCCAAAGCTAGAGAGGTTGTTAGTTGATTGCGGATCACGTTTCTGGGGATAATAATCCTTCGAAAAAAATAATAATTTGGTCACTCAATCCACGACTGTTTGTGGGACGCTGCTGTGCACAATTGGCTGCCGTGTTTTGCCCACAAAATATACAGCCAATTCACTTTACAGTAATAATAGTAAGTATATTCTGTGAAGAGCTTTGCGACGTCTTGAAGATGTGAAAAGCGGTATGTCAAATGCAAGGATTATTTTATCACTATTATACATACATTCGCAAACAAAAACTTCACAAAAGCTGGGTTGACTGACAATTCTTGAAAGGAAAGCTAAATGATCTGAGACATATTAACTGGT